CTTGTGTTTTCTAGGAAAACAATGTAATTAGCTGAAAAAAATAAATTAAAATGAAATCAATCAAAAAATGAAACTCCAGCTGAACAGGAGCAGTGTGCAGGCTGGTTGTGGCAGCAGGGGATGAGTTGTGGTGTCCTAACAAGAACACATCTCTCTCAGGCTGTAACCAATATCCAAGTGCATTGGCAGCAGATGTTATTAATGATGCCAATACATATTTTCATATTAATCTTCCATACTAGGCTTGTGTCTATCTGCAAATGATTATCATTCATTTTCCTGACAAATCTATCAAGATCATTTATTACTGTTCGGCAAAGGATCTTCTTTTAAACAAAGATTAATAACATTGCATTTTATCTGGCTGGCTGAGCCAAAGGAAATGAAATTAACAATGAGCCCTACAAACATGTCATCACTTTAATTTACCGGAAAATATTTAAAAATGTTATTTAAAAGAATATACGCTGTGGTGGGCACAGTTTATTACAAAGGCAAAGAATCAAACCACAGGCATTTTAGCAGGGTGGAGAGTAAACAAACAGGGCACTGTGAATTCTCTGGTTCCTGGCACTGGAGTTCTGGGACAAGGAGGGAGGGGCAGCCACAGCATTTTTGGCATGCACAGATGGGCACCTGCCCAGGGGAATGGCAGCTGGAGGTCCCTGTTCCTCAGCTAAAGTGGGTCCTGACCCACAGCTCCCATTCCTGCAGGGAGCACTGCCTTCTGTGCCATCCTACAGAAGGGAACTCCAGCAGGGTAGAGCTCGTGGGGCTCTCAGGGAGAGGAGGGCACAGGTGGGCTGAACACCAGCACCCTTCTGTATGCCTGCTCCCCAGGAGGAAAATAAACAAACTCACAAAGTTTACATGGTTTGGTTTCCTTTATTTTGCACTCTCTTCATACTTTCCCTTCCCCTCTTTTGAGTAACAAAACCAACAACAAAACAACAATAATAATAAAAATATACACAAAAAAACCTCTCAGAATTCCCTTCCTACTTGTACTGGTACAGGTCTAAAATCCTTCCAGGGGAGCTGGGAGGCCTGTAGACATCCAGTGGCTCTTTAATTCCTGCCTTGGAATCCCGTATCACACCTGAAGCCACCTTCATGCCTTCCCTCCCTTTGTCTCACAGGCAATTCCAACCCCTGTGCGTGTCCATCTCCAGCACAGCTCACGGGGGGTGAATGAAGCGAGTTCCATCTGCCACAGGCTGGCACTGAGCTGCCACTGCTGCCATTCCAGCACAGCCCAAGATCTCAGCAGCAGGAGCTGGAATTCCAGGCAGTGCAGGATCACAGCCCTGCCATCCAAGCAGGGCCAGATGGCACCACCATGCCAAGGACAACAAACAGTCATTAAGTTGTCAGAGCCCGAAGCAAAGTCAGCCTGAGCTGCTGAGTCGCTGCCATTTCTGATTCCCAGGAACAAGCTGTCCCCAGAACAACAGCAGAGAGGCTCCTGGAGAGGGCACTTGAGCAACTGTGAGCCACAGGGTGTCCCCGGAGGAGTCCCTGTGCCACAGGAGCAGGGTGGAGCAGAGCACATGTGTGTGCACAACAGGAGCATCTTCACACAGAACACTCATCTCTTGCTCTGCAGTTTCTCTGCTGGACTGTGATGGGGCTGCTTGACAGCACTGGGGACCAGGCACTGGGATGGAGATCATTGGGATGGCTCCTCTGCCACTCCCTAGTGTAGACTAACCCAGCAACCTCTAATTCTTCATTTCTTTAATTCTTTATTTCTTTATTTCTGTGGGAAGGACCAGGGTAACCATTTTAAGAACCCAATAATTACTGCAGCATGTGCTCCAAACAGAAATGCTGTTCTGTGACTTACTCCTGTGGCTTCCACAAAAGCAACATCCAGTTTAGTATGTGAGACTCATAACCAGCTCACACAGTGCAATAGTTCACTTCAGTTTGAAGAAAAAAAAATATTCTGCTAGAAGCACAGCAAGTAGCAGTGTCAATTTTTCATTAACCTACGGCCACTCTCTCTGTAGACTTGCAGCTATGAGTAAGATTACTGTTAAAATTTTTTCTGGTCCCTAAGGGAAGGGGGGAAAAAAACTTCTCAAAACTTTTAAGGTCATTAAAAATTCACCTTTAAATTGGAGGTAGTTTCAGTTCACTCTCATATTTCAAAATCAAATCTTAGCTGCAGCCTCACATCAAAGCAGAAATGTCAGTCGCTTTGTTTCTACTTCTGTGAAAGAAGTTCCAGCTTACACACGACTTGAATGCCAAGTAAATAGATTTTCCTGGGGAACAAAGGCAGTTTTCTTTTGTTTGTTTTAAACATATGTAAATAGAGTCCCAGGGGCTGAGCTGCCTGTCACTTCAACCAGGTTCACACTCATGTCACTCCAGCTGGTGATTTCTGACCGACCTCAGGTCAGGACTGCAGAAGTCTCCCTCCCCACTCCTCCAGAGCCACATCAAGCAGCTGCTTGTGCCCTTCCCCTCTGGCCTCACACCTCAGCAAAGGGGAAGCAGACTAATGTGAATTCCTTTTTTGCCACTGTCTTATTCTTTTGAGTTTGGTTTTGTTTTTAAGCTGTAGTTACAGAATCACAGAAATACTCTGGCCTCTGTCAAAGCCGCTGCGGTGGTCCTGAATCCTGTGGGCAGAGCAGAGCAGTGCCTGGAATCCCTGGATACCAGCAGAGAGCAGCTGGGCACTGCCTCCACCCCAGCCATGGATTAAAGGCTGAGGCACCCACTGGTTTCTGGTCAAGATGATGGGGGCAGGGAAGAAGCAGGAATGGCTTGGTAAGAAAACTGATCTTTTTTGGGTTGGTGTGTGTTTTTCTCAGCAGGAGGGCATCATCACTCTTGAGCTTTCCCTTTTCAGTGCCAGGCACTTAAAGAGTGGAATGTTATCCTCACAGAGCCAGAAGACACCGAAGAGGAGCAGGACCCCTCCAGATGTCCACCTGCTCCAGGGGTCAGAGCTTGGTGCAAACAACACTGAGGGCAGGGTTGGATCCTTGTACAAGCCACAGACTTCAGAGTTGGACTGAATGATTCTCATGGGTCCCTTCCAGCTCAGAATATTCTGTGAAATCTACTCACTTTTTTTTTTTTTTTTTAATTTAAACTAGCAGATCAATGCAAAATTGAGCACTTCATGCTTGCCATTTCCAAATGATTCGGGTTATATCTCAATCTTCAGCACTGGTTTTGGGTGTAAGACTGGGTAGCAGCAAGGGATGCATCAATTTATAGGCTCTGCAAAAGCTGCAATTAAGGAAAATCCTCAAATACATGAGAAACCTCAATTTTGATTGGCCACGTTCCCATAACTTATTGATAATTCAACTCACTTGAGTATTATTCAGTGTTTTCCTTCTCCCTGCTTTTTTTATCTCTTGACAAGTTTACAAAGAGAAGAATGGAGCCGAGCTGAGCTGCATTCCATCCAATCTGCTGCCTCCACAAACGGCAGAGAAGCTAAATGAAGCCCAGAACATATGGCACTGTGCTGACAGAGCTCCCAAACTGGTTCTGCGTGAGCAACAAGGAACATCTTGAAACGCACAAGACATATGTGTTTTAGGAAGAAGATTGAAGTGTTTCATAATAAAACAGGACAAAGTGAAATACAAGTGCTGTATAAAATTTTAATTAAAAACTGGTTTTACCCCTCGACGTGAATATACAATATGTTTCCCAGATGGATTTCATATTTAAGTATTATCCAAACCAGAAACATAAATGAGACAAATAAAGCCTTCAGAAATGGCACAGAGGCTAAAATGTATGTAAACACTAGATGACTGTGGTGAAAACAAGGCAGGGAGAGAAAGTAACCTCTTAGCAAGTGTTTACTACTGGAATCCTGAATGAAACAGTTCCTACAGCTACAGTCAGGGTAACAATACAAATACAAGCATTAGAATTCACCACCACTCAGTGATGTAAATGGTGCTTTTGTTACTCAGGAGTTGCCCAGGCTATTTCCTACACTGATAATTCACTCTGCCCTGCTCCCAGCCTCCAACCCTGCTCTGTGTGAAGCTCTCTTCATTCCATGCCATCAGCTCCACAGGGTTATGCAAAGGCCTGGCCACAGAACAGAATTTTTGTGCTGTCTCCTCAGCATCAGTAAATCCCTATGAACCAGGAGGGATATTGTTTTGCAGCAGCAAACTCCTTTCCCTGAGGAGGTGAGAAGGTGGCTCAGATCCCACTGTTCAGCCTGTGGGGAGTTCTCTGCTGGGCCAGAGGCAATCACCCAGAAGTGAAGGGAAATGAACATGAAGAAAAAGCACAATCTCCACATAGATCAAGCAAAGAGAAAGATTACAGTTCCTTTATGCTGCCATCCAGACAAATTATCACCACACTTCAGAGAATTTCTCACAAAGATAAAATGGGAACAAACCCCATGCCTTTGGCAAGCCAACACTGATAAAAGGAGCTACAGCCACATCTTTGAAGGGCTTTGGTTGATGATGTTTTGAATTCCATGGGGAAAGCAGCAGAAGCCAACAGTAGTCAAGGGGGTTGTGCTTAATAGCTCCTGTGCAATGGAAACAGGAACATTGGGGGTTTCAATCACTTCCCACAACGCTGCTGCATTTGTTGGAACTGAAAGGAACTGGGCAAAGACCAATTCTCTGCTGCTCCCAGAGACATCACCCAAGGCAGACACCCCTTCTGTCAGGGAGGCAGACCTAGAAGTGCTGTCCTCTCTCAGCTTCAAGTGTTCTCACCAGAACCAAGAGCCTCATTTCATTGATTTGAAAGTTTCCTCAAGTTCCTTGATTACTAAACAAATCTCATGAGAAATTCTCAGCATCCTGATAATGATCACTCCATGACCACTGAAGTAATTAACACCATGGCCTTTCCTATGACCTGAGATTCCACATTACCAGATTTATACAGCAGGAGATCACTGCTAAAAGGTTGAGAATTTTGTAGCATGGTTCAGTGCTCCAGAAAACATTTCAAGCTTAAAAATTGGGAATGGCAGAATTACATACCAAGTTATTCCTTACACATGGAGTAGGAAGACAGAGATTCCTTCCAGCTTTCTCTGACAAACCCATGGCACACCACACAAAATTTCCCACTGTCACATTGCACCCTTTGTTCCTGGGGAAAGCTTGAGGATAAATGATGCAAGAGATGTTAACAGTGCTGGTTAGTACACAGAGCAAACAGCACTAAGACATCAGGGTGACAAAAAAGATTATATTAAAAATAAGATAAAAAAGATATCATAAGAGCAATCAGTGTGAGGATATGAACCCGGATCATGCAGGAGACAGAATCTGAGCAAGACACCAACTGCAAAGATTAGCTCCTAAGAGCACATGTAGTAAAGCAGCTCATTATCTTTTCTAGCCCTCTCTGATCAAGATAGAAATCTATTAAATCTGATTAAGATTTGTTTAATAATTGTCTGATTAAAACATAATAAACCTGGGAAAATTAAAATAAAGCCTTTTTAGTAACCTGGAGATGAGATGGGACTTTTCAGCTAGGTTTCCACAAAATAATTTCTTTAACATTCACCTCAGGATCCCAAAGCACTTCACAGTCATTTAATTAAGCTTCAACAGAGCACAAACTCCCTATTTTACAGCTGAGGTAACAATGAGAAGGAGTTTAGAAAAGACTATTTAATATTGAGCCGAGCTAAATGTCCTGTTATTTTACCCCAAAAATAGATTCCAAACATCTCCAGGTAGATTTCTTTCTCCCCTCATAATTTTGTCAGCCTCTGAAGTAATAGTAAAATTCAAACATGTGATGCACAATCTAAAGAACAGCCCTCATCACTTCCAAGCTGCTCAGTTTTGGAGCACAGACACTGTTCCCCATCTATCTTACAAAGCTGCTCCTACCTGTTCTCATTACTCCAGCGATCCCTATGCTTCTTATCCTCAGTGGAGCAATTTAAGCTTCTCTTCCTCCAAGTCAAAAACTTAGATAAGGCAAATCATTAAAGGGTTTGACATTTTTGCCTTTAATTCAGGTCAGGTCAATGACTGAGTGATTTCCAAAGCAGCTACTCCTCAGCCAAGGATTTGCATTTCTTCTGAACATAGGCAGGCAGTTTGTCTAAAGCCAGCCCAAGATCCTAAACTCTACCAAGTTATTCATAGGAGACATGGAAGGGAGCAAGTAGGAAGCAGAGTCTGACTCACTAAAATGAAAGTGATTAAAATATTACACTGATTGCATCCTGCAAGCATCACTGGATGCTGAACAGCTTTTGGTGAGAACACTCGTGGGCTGTAATAACTTAGGGAGGGCAAGAGAGAGAGGCAGACTCTACAGAAAAGCACCAATTCACTCCTCATCTGGCCCATTACTGCCAGATTTGAGTAGGCAGCTTTCCTTTAGGAACTAAAATGATGGGGGTGGAATTATGCCATCCCACTGTCACTAGAACTTTGTGGATGGCAAAAGATAAGGAATGAGCACAGAAAATGCTATTTAAAGTTCCACTCGGGAACCTAGAAATTTGCATTTGATAGAAGGGATTTAAATTGTATCAGAAGGCAAGGTGCACTAAACAATTACAGTTTATTGCTGTGTTGGCTCAGTGCTTGAAGCTGCACTTCTCCCAGGCTGCAGGGGCCGAGCAGTAGCCGTGCTCAGAGCTGTGCATGCTGCCAGGGCCACCTGAGCAAATGGAAGGGGAAAAAGCTTCTGAAAACAATGTGCCTTGAAGATTTTAGGGACAGATCCGAGTAATTTGGGTCTGAAATCACATTCCACAGGAAAGTTTTCCATTTACCAAACTGGATTTCCAGCACAGTGCCTGGAAGAGAGCACTCCTGCTGTATGAAGGCATGAGCTGTGGAATGACTCTGACCCAGGAGAGGAACATCTCCTACAGCATCTGATTCAGAGAGACACTGAACACACATCTCCCTCCCAGCTGGAGCGGGGCCAAAGAGACTCAGAGTCTGTCTGCTCCATTTGATGTTAAGCTGCAGTAGAAGGCTACACTGAGAAGATTCATACTGGTCAAAATTCAATAATGACATTTTTTTCTCCCATTCAGTTTTCACCTTTCCTGAAAAATTTTTAATTTTTGTTGAAAACTGAAGATTGCAATATTACCATATACTTCCTTTTTTTAGCTAGGGGAGTCATACAGATATCCTCCAGCCATTCCCTGAACACTTTGAAAACATCACCTTCCTTTTTTGTAGTGGTGTCACAGAGCCAGATCAGGCCAAAGGGGAGAAGCCAATCTTCAGAAGACTACCTTTTTACTCAGCTGTGACACTGGGGAGGGAATGCACAGAGAATACTGAATGAAAACTGCAGGATATCAGGAGAACACTAAATCATATGGCTCAAACACATACAGGAAACTGCACAAACCTTCAGGTATCAACAGATTAATTTTCACCAAAAGCTTGGAAAATTTTTCTCAGAATCTGCCCTGCCTATTTAGGATCTACTTCAATACAGCTACTCTGTTCAGAAAGAAAACTATTCCTTTGTGGACTGATATGGGGTCACTGGAGAGGCCAGTGAACACCAGGTCCTGGTAGCACAACCCTCCATGGCCTCCATGCCTTCAGGGACACAGCTCAGGCAAGTTTTACTTTTCCCTTCTGCAAAAAAAGAAGCGCCCTGCTACCTCACAGAGTGACTCGGCACTTTTCCATAGCATGAGACGGTGCCACTAATGCCCTCTGAAAGCACTAATGTGCTAAATGGCAGCAGGGACAGGAAGTTATCAGTGTTAATCCACTTCAACTGGTCCAACAGTTACAAGAAATAGAAATGTCTGTATGTGAGACACTTCCTCTGAGAGTGCCCTTGCCTGAAACAGCAGCACACAGCCTCTCCACGTGCTCTCCCACCAGCGGAATTGCTCACCAACTGCTTTCTCAAGTCAATTATGTTGTCTCAGCATTAAAGGAGGGAAGGCAGAATAGACCAACTTTTTGTTTATGTAGGCATGCTGGCAGGTTCCAGTCATATGCTGTGCCATCTGTACTGCTAGCTTTATCCTCTATCTAATCACAACAGGTAAAATGGCATCGGTGGAGCTGCCTCTGTTTGCTCCGAGAGGGAGGCAGCCAGAACAGGCATTTGTTTTTTCGGCATTCTGGGGGGAAGCAGGAGATGGACACTCTTGCCCTTTTAAAACATTCAGCTTTTCAATGGAAGGGCAATTTGCCCTGGTCTGCTAATGTGGGATCTGCTCAGTGCAAGGCTGAAAAGGTTCCATCCCTGGGGAAAGCATCAAACTGCTGATGAACATTTGGTGGCCTTTAGCAAAAACGAAATGATTGCTGCCAACAGGATCCCAGCAGACTGGGAAGGACAGGCTCCAAATTAGGTGGGATTGTGATGCAGAAATTTCAGAAGGCCTGTACAGAACACAAGGAGCTTGCTGACTAGCTCTGGTCTTTCCCCCTGCACAGTCCTTTCCCATTCATATTTTTAAAATGACAAGTGTATTGGCAAATGTCATGGCTGCATTTAGGAGAACCTGGAAGCTTTCAAATGCAAAGCTGTGTGAAGATAACCTTTCATCTCACACAAAGGCTGCTGGGCTGGGTGGTTTTCTTTTAAAATCTCACAGTATTAGAACTAATTCTGACTAAAGGGGCTCAAAAGCACTTCAAATACATGCCTATGGGTCCTATAATACCAGAGTTTGTCCAAAATCAACAATTCAAAGGCAATTGTCTAGAAAACAATTCTCTTTGTCCTAGGTGGGTCACTTTTAAATCAACATTCACATTCACTTTCCCCTTTAGGTCCCCTCTTGGACCACCAGGGCATATTGCTTCTTCAACCAATTCTGTTTAAATTGTAAATAGATTTAGATATTTAGTAAGAACTGTCTGCAGCTGAAACCTGAGTTGTCATACAGGAATGTCCAGCAGATCTATTAGTCTTCAGATGACCCAATGCTCAGACTCTCAAAGGAGCAACACCATCCTGCTTAACAGTGGAGAGGATTTTTTGTTAGGGATTATTTGTTTCTTTTCTGGGAGAGTGAATGTTAATTATTTCCTTTTTTCAGCCCAGGCCAAATCCCCATTTCTCCAAAACCCTGCCTAACCATAAGACACCTTAAAAAATAGAGTACAAATATTGTTGTATAAAAATAAGTTTAGTTACAAATACTGTATAGTGTGTGTTCTCAGGTGAGCTGCTCTCAGGAATGTGTTTTGTGATCTGAAACAGCACCAGCAGCTTTTTGGTACATGTTTCCATATATTTTTGCGAGAGTCTCCTCCAAGATTGCTCTGTGAGGCTTCTCTTTGTACACAGCTGCAGGACCAGACCAACATTCACCATTACCCAAGTGAACAGGAGCATTCTGCTGCACTGGAGAACTGTCAGAGGAAAGATAAGAAACAATGATCAAATCAAGATATGGAAGAGGAATTAGTGGCACAAAACCAGCGGAAATATCAAGGTAGAGCTGCTTAGCACAGATTACCTCCACAAACCAAAATAAAAACTTTATTTTATTAAAAAAAATATTTTTTAGTTTTATTAAAAAACTGCAGCTACTTTTAAGAAATGGGAAACCCCCCATGTTCTTCATTCACACAAATCCTCCCCCACTTTACTGAGTACACTTTGCAATGCCCCCCAAATAGAATTAATGTTCAGAGAACCTGCAGTAATTTTGCTGTATTTTTGCAGGCTGTGTGACTAGGCAAGAGCAACACAGTAGGATTTTTGTGTCCTTTGAAGGTGAAATAGTAACCACAAGCAGCTATTTCAATATGAAGACAATCTATCAGGGGGATATTAAATTACTGTGGTTGCAGCTGTAAAGTGCTCTATCAGAAGCATCTTGGATTAAGTTTTCTACCAAATACATTTTGATATAGTGGCAATCCAGGGTTCCTTCCCCACCCCATCTTCTGTGTCACTGTTTTAATACTAAACACAAATACAGGCTCATCTTTCAGTTGCTTTGAGAAATTATTCCCTTGATCTATGAAGTGAAATTTATACTCTGCAAATCATTACAAAACACTGACAAGTCTGAATAGTTTATATCTAAACATCATTACTATCTGCTTCCTCTTGATACTTTCAAAACAAAGGTTTGTGTCATATAATTAAATGAGCAATTTCCCTGTAATAAAGCATGAAACAAGAAGCTTAAAAATCATCAGAAAAAAATTACAACTGAGATGACATTTTTCACATCTGCTCAGAGATTTAGGCACTTAAAACACTTAAAAATTAGGACTGAGTTATCTTCAGCTTCTGCAAATGTTCTCTGTCTGAGAAATAAAACTGGAAATGTGAAGTTTAAAGTGACCATCTTCACTTAGGAAATGGATTATATTTCACAGGAAAGCTTCACAGCTTCTTATGTATGTGTCATTTACTAATGATAGTGTCTTCTGCAATCAAACCAGTACTTAAAATTTCATCCTCAAGTTAGTATAAGCTAACATGTGACAAAATTGAAAGAAACTTTATGCCAACTCCATGAATACACATATCCAGCTGCATCAAAACACAAGGTATTCATTTGAAAAACAGAAAAGGGGAAGAAGAGTAAGATGTAGGAACAGTTTTCTAAATTGACATCTCTAAGCTTCTACTATCCCATGGGGAAAAAAAAAAAAAAAAGAAGGAACAGCTTTTGCTTTTAAACTTCTTACATTGAATATTAGGGTAATGCCAACCAAAACAAGATGCCAAATAAAACAAGAACTCCAATACTAAAAAGAGAGGAAGGTCACTTCCACCCTTATTCAAAAAGGCTCCAACCTTTCAAGTCAGTCAATGGCACGGAGTGAATTTAAACCTGTTTACCACCCCGAGTTAACTGTGCTTCACAGTTTGGATGCAAAGAAACCAACCTACTAACCAAAATCAATAAAGAAGTTACACAGGCCTGTGTCAAATGCAGACAAGTCAATACCCTGGGACTCATCAATAACTGCAGTTTCACCTCCTCCTTCCTGCAGTTTGTGGTACCTCACTTCTGATGGAGCATTCTCAGGCCAACAAGCAGGCACAGCACTTGTAACTAGACAATGAACAGCTCTGACACTCTTTTCCTTGGAATCATTTCCAGCACCAGCCTTGTGCTTGCCTTTTCTTCTCCTAAAAGCTGAATTTACCTAGAGACACTCAAAATCCAACATTTTAATTGCAGTAAAGACTCAAAACCCAACAGTAACTTTGACAAGTTCTTTATGGCGGTACGAACAAAGACTTACAAAAAAGCTTCATTTTCCCTTCTCTTTTTGGAGGGGTGTGTGTTGTCATGGATTTCCATTAGCCAGCCCTTGTCCACAAGATACCTGGATAAAGCTACAGTCAAGTTAGGGAAGATTCCCCCTCCTGTCTCAACTGGAAACCAGCTGACAACCTGAGCTAAGCAATCTGGGAATTACACTCACAAATCATATTAACAGCAGGATTTCTGCACGCAACTCCCTGCTCTGAAATACCTGTCATATGCTTTTGTTCCCTCATACATCTCCTTTAAGAGTCCCAGAAGTTCCTTTCTGAGTGAATCATATACTAAATATTTCACAAAACACAGACCTTTTCCTTACTCCCAGCGGTTTTCAATCATCCATCTACTTTACTGCCAGCATTTGGTCGACAGTACCCTGTCCTTCCATGAACTCTGTCTCTGTCCTTGTATCCTGTTTACGAGCACTGTGGCAAACACTCAGCAATCTGACTGTCCTCGAGGCCTTTATGTCTCACCCCCAGTGCTGCTGGCCCCTAAACACAAGGAGCCAACCCGAGTGCCACATTTCATATCCCATCACTTCAGGATTCTGGAGTATTAAGAGTTGTTTTCCATTTTTTTCATGGTCTGCAGTTTCAGCATAAATCTCAAAGTCCCAAAGCTGCCTCAAAACACAAACTTAAACTTTCTCTCTCACAAACACATCCTACACCATTTAATTGCCCCAGCAGTCAGGACAAAGGATAAGGGAGTAGAAAGGCTATACAGATACAGGAGTGAGCACAGGTACAGGAGGCACAACTGCAGCAGCAACGTCACAGCCATATGGAAATCCAAGAAATCCCTTGCACAGAGGGGAAAACAAATCACAGGGATTTTTAAAGAAGCCAGCAAATCATAAATATACTTTTTTTTAGCTTATAAATTTCAAGTAGAAGTTTGTTATGGCACCCATATTGAAATACCGTTCTTTCAGGGGGGTACAGTGGTGATTTGGAGT